TCTTCACAGAAGCAGACTGCCTCATCTTCCTCCCCAGGACTGGTTGGTTGGTTTGAACCAGGAACCTTTCAGTTAGCACCCGAGCACCTTAACCATTGTGCCACCAGGGCTCATCTCTGTACATCTCCATATCCATCTCTCTTTCTCTCTGTATATATGTATATATTCATACAGCTGTCTGTACTCATGTGTCTGTATGTTCATTTAGCCCTGTATTCATATCTATCTGTATATTCATATATACATTACTCTATCAATCTACAACTGTTGTCTTTCTATAGAGAGCAAATATTTTTAATCGGCAGGTGGAAGTTTGCACACAGGTGGGTTGGCGATTACTAACTGACAGACAGGTTGGAGTTTCGGGTCCACCCAGAGATGTCTGGAAAAGGAAGCGGTTGCCAACGCTGTGGAGCGGGGTTCAGCTGCGCCTGCGCGGAGCACGGAGACGCCGGAGGGGGCGTCTCCCCAGCGCGCGTTGGGGGCGGGCTTTCCGGGGGGCGTGGCCACCCAGCGTGCGCTGCTGCCCGGCAGGTTCTGGACGTCCCACGATGACCGTTTCCTGTACATGCTGCTGGAGTTCGTTCCGGGCGGCGAGCTCTTCAGCTACCTGCGGAACCGGGGCCGCTTCAGCAGCGGCGCGGGGCTCTTCTACTCGGCAGAGATCGTCTGCGCCATCGAGTACCTGCACTCCAAGGAGATCGTGTACCGCGACCTGAAGCCCGAGAACATCCTGCTGGACAGGGACGGCCACGTGAAGCTCACAGACTTCGGCTTCGCCAAGAAGCTGGTGGACAGGTAAGAGCACCTTCGCGAGCCTGGGTTTCCGCGACAGCGCAGGGGGCCATCGGCGCGGTGTCAGACCGGCAGTGGATTGTGACTCTGGCACTTTGCCGAACCACGGAAGCGTTTTAGCAACGAGAGCGCGCCACGGTGGCGCCCTCGGGGGAACATGGTGGTGGTTGGGGCCTGACTCGACGCTACTGAGTGACGGCGACCCCGTGTGACGGAGAGGCGCTGCCCCGCAGGGTTTCCAGACCGTCGGTCTCACGGGGACAGGTCGCCGGGTCTTTCTGTCAGGGAGCTGCTGGGTGGGTGTGAACGGCTGACCTTGGCATTGGCAGCTCTACGCGTGACGTGCGCCGCCCGGCTCCTCGGGGTCAGGCTTCCTGGTGTGAGGGGCCGGGGGGTGGGTTCGTGACGGGGCCAGGCAGGGGGGCACCCTCCTTATCCCCTCCCTGCTGCAAGAGGAGAGACTCCAGTCACCCCTTTTGTCAAAGAGTTTTCCTCACAAGGAAGTAAATGTTCAGGGTGGGTTGCTGTAACGCTAAGATAGTCACGTGGATGTCAAATATTTTTTTAAAATAGCATACTCATGCTTTTGTAAATAAGTAGATATGTGTATTTACCTAACCATATGTGTGTGTATAATATATTTTTCATAATATGTACTTCATTTCCATGGTCTACAGTGGGTTAAATATCTGCACTGTATGTTTTCACTCTGTATAGTTCCCTTTTATATCCACAAAAACCAAACTCATGCGGTCAAGTGGATTCCGACTCATAGTGACCGCCTCCAAGGCCGGCATTCTTACAGAGCCAGACTGCCTCCCTTAGGTTTGTTCCATGGAGCAGCTGGCGGGTTCAAAACACAAAATGCCAACCTTTTAATTAGCAGCCAAACTCCGTAACCACTGTACCACCAGAGCTGATATAGACATAGATATGGACACACACACACACACACACACACACACACGAGCTCTAGTAGCATAGTGCCTAAGGCACTTGACTGCTAACCAGAAGGCTGGCGGTTCAAACCCACCAGCCACTCCTCAGAAGGAAGGTTGGACAATCTACTTCCGTAGTGATACCGCCTCGGAAACCCAAAGAGGGGTTGGTATGAGTTGGGGCCGACTCGACGGCACATAACAACAATACACACACACACATATGTATACAACATACACACACGCACCAAAAAAAAAAAACCAAAACCCCAAACTCCCTGCCATCGAGTTCATTCTAACTCATAAAGACCCCCATTGGGTTTCTGAGGTGGTCAGTCCTTACGTAACTCAATTGCTGGGTCTTTCTTCCATAGAGTAGCAGGTGGGTTTGAACCACCAAACTTCGGGTAGCAGTCAGATGCCTTAGGCACTGCACCACCAGAGCTCCTTATACACCTATATATGTGTGTATATCCATTTCCAATTATATATACTTACACATATTCCACTGTGTATAATTGATATATATGAATGATGTTTTTTAATTACTTATAGATCTCTGTGTTTATGAATATTAATTATATGTAGTTCCAGTATATATATATATATATTTCTACTATGTCCATTTATATGTGTATAAACACATACATACCATTCATCTACAATGTAGGTTTATATCTGTTGGTATGTATCAGTAAATATTATGTATTTATTTGTGTACACACAGTGCACTCTGATGGCACGGTGCCTAAGGCATCTGACTGCTAACCGAAGTTCACCAATTCAAACCCACCAGCCACACCATGGAAGGAAGATGGAGCAAGGCCCTTCCTTAAAGATTTACTGCCTCAGAACCCCAGTGGAGGTTGCTGGGAGTCAGAATTGACTTGATGGCAGTGAGTTGTTTGTTTTAATATGTAAAATCATGCGGTAGTGTGCATCAAGTCTTCATGTTTCTTTCTGTCTGAGTTTCTGTTGTGTGGATGGACCACATGTTGGTCCTTTTACCTGCTAATGGACACTTGGTGGTTTCCACCTTTTCCTGGGTGTGCATGATCCTGCTGTGAACATTCCTGCCCTTCTATTTTCATTATATTTGCTTCCCATTTATATGTGTGTGTGTGTGTGTGT